TTTTGCAGCTGGATCCAGACCACCCCCCTCAACGCAATGGCGGTTAGTCTCTTGCAGCGTCGATCCTTCCGAACGGCAACTTTGCTCTTGGTTTCGGTAAGCATGCTACATCATGGGAGCTCATACTCCCTGTCCTGGTATTGCTTCTTCGTATGCAAGGCGAAGCATGAGTGCGTGAAAGGATGGTGGTTTAACAAGAAAGCTATTCTCGTCCACCACTGGGCAAATGTACTGGAGAACGACCAAACACAAGGCCCACCGAGCCCTCTTATAGCAAAATCGCTTCAGCAGCAAGAGAGGTTCAAGGTCCATTCGAAATTTCTGGGATGATATTTTCCTCGTTGACAGCCCCCAAAGGTAACATTATGTTTGAGTTACCTTCCGTTACCTCAACCTTCCCCATACGGCGGTTGATCTCCCTTGAGATAAGAAAACTATGTGGGAAATTCTCAGCAGATCACCTGAAGAGTAGGCATTCAGGTTCATGAGCAATATTCTAGTAGGACCTGTGTTTTATACTACAGCCGTATCATCACTTGAGACACATGCCTCTTTGAGGATGAGCATCTGAAATGGTGCCCTTTTCTTCAGCCACCAAGATTGTGGAAGATTCTGAAATAATTGCCGTTTCATTTTCCACTGAATATCAGTCGCGCATTTGACCATGGACAAACTTCCATAGAATTTGGCCTGACCTTTAAGCGACCATTCCGAGTCACTAGACCGCTCTGCAATGACCAATAGCTTGATATCTGTCAGCGACACACCAAGTTTTCCTATAACCCCTCCTTTTTTCGGCCTCCAGACGAAGTGTAACTTAATATTATATAGCATTGGTATTACGAGTTTGACACGCTGCTTTTGCCGTTCCGATTGTGTGGTTGGTTGAGGCAGTTGACATTGCCTCGATTGTTGGAATGTTCGACATATTTGACTCAATAGTGTAATGATTGTCCACAAAAACACTAAAGTATGAATATGTCGCCAAGTAAGACCGAAGACGTCCTGGAATGGTTCATATATGCTAGCGGCAACATTGAATGCGTATTGACTTTGTAGGGGCTCATTTCGTATGACCATTACTGCCCCCTGTTCTTGACTCGAGTATTGCTTTATTGTTTCTGTATATATTAACATTAAAAATTCTGCAAACTCTTC